AAGAGAATAAACTCCTGTTTGTTAAGGCCATCCCATTTGTGGTATATTCCTGTGGCACTAGGTAACCAGAACATACTACCTTGTGAGTTCAAACAGCCTTGAGTGCAAATCCTGATTCCACTACTTACTAGCTTTTTGATTGTGTTATCCCATCTGTAAAATGGGAATATTGCAAGGGGTAAATGGGACAGGTGTGTCATATGTCTAAAACAGCACCTGGCTAGTAGGAGTGGTAGTAGTTGTGTTTATCCCTATTTAACGCATGAAGTAACATGTTCGGTGAGGTTAAGTTGCTTGCCCAGTGCTCACAGTGTGTAAGTGAGAGAGCTGGGATCACAGTCTGTCTACATCTTCAGATGGATAGGGGAAGGAGGAATGGCATCAGATACTAACCTGGCCCTTCGGGCATCTTATGTGTTGCCTAGGTGTGTGCAGGGGTTTCAGCAGGGCCTGTTGGCGTGGCGGCAGGAGGTGCCCTCAGAGTTTGACCTGGCCTATGCCGACTTCCTCTCCATGGACATCAGCATGCTGCGACTCTTTGAGACCTTCCTGGAGACGACACCGCAGCTGACGCTGGTGCTGGCCATTGTAATGCAGACTGGCAGGGCAGAGTACTACCAGTGTGAGTGATGGGCCAGAAGCTGGCCCCCTTTTATGGCCTGGGACCATTTCCCTCTGTTATTGTTGTTGCTGTTATATGCCATTGAGTTGGACCTGACTCATAGCAACCCCTCCTTGGGTTTGTGAGGCATATCACTATGGAAGTAGATTGCCCAACCTTCCTTCCAAGTAATGGCTAGTGGGTTTGAACCGCCAGCCTTCTGGTTAGCAGTCAAGTGTCTTAGGCACTACGCCACCAGAGCTCCTTGTTTCCCTGTAGTCTCACAAATATATATATATATATTTTTAAAAAAGGCTGCTTGGAAAGAGGAGAACATGCTTTAGTCAGGCAGCTCTAGCTGTGTGCCTGGGCAGATGATCCAGTCTTTCTGAGGATAGTTTGTTCTCATCTGTAAAATGGATGCTATAAATGCTCTTACTTCATAGTGTTGATGTAAGGATTAAGAGATGAGGCACGTAAAGCACAGTGCCTGGTGCACAGTACATCTTGATTGTTGTTCTCACTGTTTTGAAGATAGCAGAGATACAGTGTATGGGGTACTTGACACATAGTAGGTGACTTGTTAGTGAGCATTTATTGAGCACCTTCATACACTCAACATGTTTTTATGGAGCACCTCTTCTGTGCCAGTTGCTATACTGGGGACACAGCAGTGAACAAGACAGACACAGCCCTGCCAGGATGACAGAGAGCAAAACATCAGTTACAGAAAAGTGTTTCCAGTGATCTGAAAGGGGAGAGGCAAGTGGCAGAGACAGGCAGGGCCTCATAAAACCATGGGGAGAAATTTGTACAGTGAGGCGCTTCCAGAAAGTTTTGCCTGTGAATGGGAAGTGACTTACCCAAGGTTGCAGTGACCAACTTGGGGCTCCAGCTCATGTCTGACTCAGGGCCCAGGGCTTCCCCTTCATCACTGGACACTTGGAGGTCCCCTGCTGTAAATGCCACAGCTGCCTAAGGAGCCCAGACTGCTCTGCCATCACGAGCTGTGTGACTAAGGGAGAGATCCCCTCTCTGGCGTCAGTTTTCTTGACTGAATAAGAGGGGCGTGGACTCAATCTTCAAGGGCCCTTTCAGCTGTTAGTTCAAGACTGTAATAATTTTAAACCCAGTAATAGCCATCTTTGGAAGCTCTAGTGGTGTAGTGTCTAAGGCACTTGACTGCTAACCAGAAGGCTGGCAGTTCAAACCCACCAGCCACTCAGGAGGATGATTGGGCAATCTACCTCTTTAGAGATACCGCCTTGGAAACCCAAGGAGGGGTTGCTCTGAGTCAGAGATGACTTGATGACATACAACAATAATAGCTGTCTTTGTGACTGAGTGCCTGCTATTCACCAGGCACTGTGCAAAGCACTTTGTGGTCTAATATCATTCATGTTCACAGAAGCCCTGTTAGGTCACTGCTATTTTTATCTGCATTACACACAAAATCCTACTTCCGTAGTGATACTGCCTCGGAAACCCAAGGAGGGGTCGCTATGAGTCGGGGCCGACTCGACGGCACATAACAACAACAACAACAACACACAAAAGAAAAGAGGTGCAGAAAGGTGCAGTGACTGGCCCTGGTTCACATTGCACTCACTGGATATCCTGTTTGTTCATTTGAGGGATGTGGGTGTTGAGGACTAGGGCTAAGTGGAGACAATTTATGGTGTGTGTGTGTGTGTGGTTGTGTGTGTGTGTGTGGTTGTATGTGTGTGGTGGGAGGCACGGGTGGAAGAAGACATACTGTAGTAACTAGGTACTGTGGTTAGCCCTGGGGCCCTAGGTGAGCAAGACTTGTTTCGTATCCTGGAGAAGCTCAGAGGTAAGGAAATAATAGGTAATTACTATGTGATAGGGAGCTTTACTTCCGTAGTGATACTGCCTCGGAAACCCAGGGAGGGGTCGCTATGAGTCGGGGCCGACTCGATGGCACATAACAACAACAACAGGGAGCTTTGGTTAAAGTGTTTGGCTGCTAACAAAAAGGTTGGTGGTTCGAACCCACCAGCCACTCCATGGGAGAAAGATATGTTAGTCTGTTTCTGTACAGATTTACAGCCTTGGAAAACCTATAGAGCAGTATATAGGACACCACTGTGTTTTACTTGTCAGGTATACAGCTGTTCTATGTGCTATCGGTATGAGTTGGAATTGACTCCATGGCAGTTGGTTTGGTTTGATTTGACTGTGTGATAAGGCTTTGGGCAGAAGTGGGTGGGGTTACAGGGACATGGACAGAGCTGGAGTGGGTGGGTGGGGTCAGGATGGAGGACTCTAGGAGATATTCAAACCAAGACTTGCAGAGTGAGTAGGAATAAGCCAGGTGAGGTGGGCCATGTGCTCCTGGCCCATGTAACAGTGGGCAAAGGCTTGTCAAAATTACAGAATTAGAACGTGGAATAGTTAAGAGAGGGTGATGGCCACATGTCTGGTTCCAGGCTAGGAGCAGGTTCCTGGCACATAATAGGCTCCCAGTAAACATCTGCGAATGAATGCAGTGGGAAGGGGATGGGAGGAAGCATTCAAGATACTCTAGAGCTGCTCCCTTCCCTCCCTGGAGGTCCTGGTCCCCGGACCTAGCCTGGACTAGGGAACCAGTAGGTAGGATAGGATCCCTGCTATCTATTTCCAGATCTTAGGAAATCAAGGCTAGGGGCCATTCTGAGTGTGGAGTAGGGAGGGGAGAGAGGAGGGAGAGGCTGTTCCGAGGACACAGCAGAACATCCCTCCTGCCCTAAGGTTAGCTTTGTTGTTGTTGTTGTTGTTGTGTGCCGTGGAGTCGGTGTTGTGTGCCACAGAGTCGGACTGACTCATAGTGACCCCTCCTTGGGTTTCTGAGGCAGTATCACTACAGAAGTAGATTGCCCCATCTTCCTTCTGAGGAGTGGCTGGTGGGTTTGAACCGCTAGCCTTCTGGTTAGCAGTCAAGTGCCTTAGGCACTATGCTACCAGAGCTCCCAAGGGTAGCTTTAGTCAGAGCCTTTTACCTCCCTGTGGTATTTCCTGCCTCTCTGAGACTGAGGTGGGGAACTGGAACTGCTAATTCTCAGACCCAAGGGAGAATTAGGGTCCTAGAAGATGCTAACTAGCGTAACAGAGATGCTTAGGGTGTGGCCAAGGCCCAGGGGTAGTGCCAGATGCTGGGTGTCATGTACCTTCTCAGCTTTGAAAAATATCACCATGCTCACACCTGACAAGTAAAACATAGAAAACATAGTGGTGGAGGGAAGACATCATATTTGACTTCAAACTTTTTTTTTTTTTACTTACTGGTTTTGTGACCTTATTTAATATTCTCCAGCTGCGATTTTCTTTTTAACGATTTGGGAGGTTCTAAAATCTCAGGTCTCTGGGTGCAAATAGTTTACACTCACTACTAACTGGAAGGTTTGAAAGGTTGACTGTTCAGACTCACCCACCAGCACTGACGAAGAAAGGCCTGGTGATCTATAATATTGTAGCCCCTGAAAACACTATAGAGCAATTACATGCTAACACACATGGGGTCTCTCCATGAGTCAGAATCTACTGTACAGCAATGCTTTTTAGTTCTAACACCTGCCTCAGGATTATAAGGGCCCCAGTACTTGTGAATATCTTAGGAGTGTGCTGGGCAGGCTACTTCCAGGGCTCACCTGTTTCTTCTTACTCTTGTAGGGGCTGGCATCTGCATATCCTTCCTAGGCATCTCGTGGGCGCTGCTTGACTACCACCAGGCCTTGCGCACCTGCCTGCCCTCTAAGCACCCCCTTGGGCTGGGCTCCTCTGTGATCTACTTCTTATGGAACCTGCTGCTGCTGTGGCCCCGAGTCCTGGTCGTGGCCCTGTTCTCAGCCCTCTTCCCCCGCTATGTGGTCCTCCACTTCCTGGGCCTGTGGCTGGTGCTGCTGCTCTGGGTCTGGCTACAGGGCACAGACTTTATGGCAGACCCCTGCTTCGAGTGGCTGTACCGGGCAACAGTGGCCACCATCCTCTATTTCTCCTGGTTCAATGTGGCTGAGGGCCGCACGCGAGGCCGGGCCACCATTCACCTGATGTTCCTCCTGAGTGACAGCAGTCTCCTGGTGGCCACCTGGGTGACTCATAGCACCTGGCTACCCAGTGGGATCCCACTGCAGATACTGCTGTCCGTGGGTGCCTCCAGCTTCCTTCTGGGTCTCCTTCTGCGGCTTGTCTACTACAATTGGCTACACCCGAGCTGCCGCTGGGAGCCTGACAGGGTGGACGGGGCCCGGGACCTCCTTAACCTTGAGGGACATCAGCTGCCTCAGAATGGGCGCATGACCCGGTTGGCTCAGAACTTTTTCCTGAAAGCCAAGGATGAAACCGCTTTCTTAGGGAAGGGAGAGGCGAATGGGGTCCTTTGAGGCAGAGTTCGACTCTGCTAGGGAGCAGAAGGGCAGTGAACAATTGGTAGAAAGCAGGAGAAGATAAGCTCCTTATGGTGCTATGGGCCTTGATCACTCAAGAGCTCGACGCCTGATCTGTGCCAGGTACTGAAGACCAGAGTTGAGTTAAGACGTAGGCCTGACTTCAAGGAGCTCACAGTCTGAATGAGATGAGAAGGGCTGGGTCCTGGAGGGTCAGTGGACCCCAATTATGGATAAGACACTTTGGGAGGAAAGGAGACTCCTTTTTTCCTCTCCCACCAACCAGTATACAGGTGGCCTCAGTGCTTCCCATCCTTGGTATTTTTACCTCTCTGGGCACCTCTGAAAGAGTCCGCAGAGGTGCTATCCTATGCTTTGGTTCCCCTTCTAAACTGGAAGGCCCCAGGACCTTCAGGGTATGCTTTCTAGAATTCTTTCTCCCTTGGCCCCACCCCATCCATTCAATTCATTCAACAAATATTTATTGAGAGCCTCTTCTGTGCCAAGAACATCATTAATTGTAGCCCTTGAACCTGGCACAAAGCTGCCACCCAAGCTTCATTCCCTACCCTCTCCACTTCCAAGTAGGATCTCAAATGCTGGAGGGCTGAGCCAGGGATGCCAACTCTGACTGGTCCCTGTCAGTTCCTCCAGGCGCATGATGCAGCTGGCACAGCCTCTGCACCTGCTGGCAAGGGACTGTCTTTCAACCAAGTGCCTTGTGAACCTGTGGTCTGGGCCATGGCTCAGTCCGTGAGTATCTTCAGCCAGTGTATGTCCTACCTCAAGTGCCCATGTGCAAGAAAGAGAATGTCTGCACTTACGGCTGCAAGTGAGAGACACGTATGTGGTGTTTTTGTTTAGCAGTATTATGACATTATTAAAACCTCATGAAATCTTCCAGCATAGTCTGTGTCATGAAACGAAATCTACCACTGAGTTCAAAACCTAGAAAGAAGAGATCAGAGACAAGATTCTCCCCTCAAAATTGGTAAAGGCCCCTGGCACCAGAGAAGAGGTGGTCGGCTTAGGTAGGACTTTCCAATTTTGTTTCCACGTTTCAGGAGCTGGTGAGCTTGCATGGGGTTTTCTGATTCAGTTCAGGGCTGATGCCAGCGTGTGTGCTGCTCCACCAACTGTGTTGCTGGGCCTGGCAGGAGTAGCCACAAGCACCTCTAGCACCAGGAAGTGAATATACAGCTCACATGAGAAAGGTACTTTTGCTGGGAGCTCAGGGAGGGTTTTATGATGAGAGGGCTCTATGGGATGTGGATGAGGTGACAGTGCTGGGGAGGTGGAACCTCTTGCTGCTCCAGGAGGTCTGTGGTTAGAAGAAGCAAAGAACAGAGAAAGGACCCTGGAGATAGGAAAAAATGTTTCCGTCGCCATTGTGATGGGACGGAATAGTCTTGGTTCTGTTATTTTCTAGTGAAGACACAATAAACAAGTGAAACATTTAGTATATTAGATAGTGTTAAATGTTACAAGAAAAATTGGGGAAGATTGTATGTTTGTGTGTTGTGGGTGGGAGTTAAATTTTATACAGAATGTCCAGGGAAGGCCGCCCTGTGTAACTGATAAGCAGTAGAGGAGGTGAGGGAGAGAGCCCTCACTGCACCCCAGAGAACAATGGGCAGTGACTGGGGGTGTGATGAGACGCAAGGAGCAGAGCTTGGGGGGAGAGCCCTATAGGCAGTAGTGGATTGAGCCATGGTAGGGGGAGGAGAGGCTGCGGCAGACCACCTGGTGCTCTCTGAGGGCAGTAACTCTGCTGGATGGAGTATGTGGTAGCTTTGTTGGCCTGGAGCCAAGAAAGCACTGAGGGTTGGGGGCAGAGAGGAGCACCTCTGGGAAGACAACGCTGGTGCTTCTTATATATGTGTAATATCAGCAGTAGAAAGGCTCTTCCCGATCACCCAGTCCGGTGATTTCCAGACTTCGGAATTTCAGGAACCAATGATACATGGTTGCTAATTTAATTTTCAGAAAAACGGGCAGGAAAAACCACCTGTTACCTTTATCATCTCATAAACAAAGGGACATAATGATCTCAGAATAAAGGACCATTCTTTTAACAGAATACGTTTAAACACACACATGCATATACACATAATGAAATGGAAATCATTAATTTTTCTCAATTCATAGGCAATATTAAGGGTTGAGACTCCGGAGGGCAGGCCTGGCCTGTGCAAATCCTCAGGCTTGGTGTCCAACCTAGCATCGGACATAAACCCTAAGGGTTTCACCAGAACAATCTACTTTTCCACATTTCTTCCTGGGACACAGAAGAAAGATCCCACACATGTCCAAAGAGAAGACCCAGTGCTTTAGGCAATTCCTCATTTTTCCCTTGAGAAAATAAAATTAAAAAAAAAAAAAAATTTTTTTTTCCCTAATTGATTTGGGTGAAAGTTTACAGAGCAAATTCACTTTCGTCTTAAAGTCAATTTGATCAGAAATTAGTATTGCCACTTCTGCTCTCTTACAGTTGCCATTTGCTTCATATATCTTTTTCCAACCTTTGATTTTTAGTCTGTTTTTGTCATTATCTCTAAGGTGTGTCTCTTGTAG